TAAAAATTTGAAGCTCAGAGGGATTTAGGACTCTGTCCAGAGTTACGAAGCTAGGAAGCGACAGAGCTGAAAGCTGGGTCCATGTTTAACCATTCTGCACAACTGCCTCTCAGCTCCAAGGCAGCAGAGCCTAATGGGGAAGAGGGCCCACTCTAGAGCAAGGTGCATCACTTCTCATGAGCCATAGAACCCTGGGCAAATTACTTACCTTCCTAGAGCTTTAGTTCATTATCTACAAAATGGTAACCCAACTTTAATAGGTTGGTATAAGAATTAGCACACTTCAAACAGTATCTGGCATGTAATAGAAACTTTTAAAATATTAATTAACATCATTATTTGTTAATATGATCAACCAAATCCCATTGTGACAAAACCTTCTGTAAGTAGTTTTTCTAGTCACCCAAATGGTGTTCCAAACCACAAAATTCTTATTTGACCTAAAGATTTAATTGCTGCACTAAAAGTGTGTTACAGAATGGATGATGCATAAAAGGAATTTTAACTATATTTACCTGAAATTACTCTTGAAAATGTACTTCAAATTTAATCCTAATACAGTACTTCCATACATCACTGTCCTTCAGAGGGGTTCCAAATTGGTGTGCAGATTCTTAAAAAGCTTCACAGATTATATGAAGGCCAATTTTAATATTCTTATAAACCTTAGAAAAATTACACCAATTTGGAACCACACATCACATGGGAGTGATGTCCCTAAGACCCTGTGCTAACTCCTAGTCATTGTCAAATCCCACCCACTGGCCTTCTTTTCCCTGCCATGTGCAGCTGGAGTGTTTCATGCACTGAACTCATCAGCTGTCACCAGCAAGTTGAAGCCGGGTCTAGTCAGGCTAGTGTGTGGATGTTTGACCTCTGAGAAAACATCTAAGAGTTGTGTAGGAAGAGATGCTGCTGACTTAAGTCAGTCTACCCAGCCTAAGGTCATCCTAATGGCTGCTTTCCAATAAAGACAGAGATTGAGCTATCGAATGAGATAGAGATAGAGCACAGATACTACATTACATCTTTTAAAATTCTTATTTTATCATTCAGTGAGCAGGAATAGACTAAGTAGGTCTTTCTTTTCTAATAAATGTTCATCTTGGAGATGTTTTTCCTGTGTTGATTATTTAAATGTGTAAGTGCACACAAACAGATGGGGAACTTTGCCTGAGTAAGGACTGTGGAATTACTTTGGGGGTCAACTTCCTGCCCCTTGGAATGCAGTGGGAACGTTCCCACAATGGGAGAGGGCCTCAAGCAGGGCACTCCATGCAGGAGGCATCGGCAGACATAACTCCTCTCAAGATGCTATCAGTGTCTCCAACAGCCAAAGGCCACTGTACCCTCAGCTGGTCCCAATCATATTCCACAAAACTCATTTGCATCATAAGCAAAAATGTGTGTGTGTGCACATGCGTGTGTGTGTGTGTGTGCGTGTGTGTGTGTGCGTGTGTGTGCGTGTGTGTGTGTGCATGTGTGTGTGTGTGTGTGTGTGTGTAAACAGCAAGGCAGCATCAGACCTCTCACTGTGTGGGCTGAAATCCAAACTTATATTAATTTGAGCTTAAAATATTCCCATGGAGAAGATGCATATTGAAAAAAAGGTGATCGTGCTTTGGAACTTCTTCAAGGAGGTTGTTCCCAATTTCATGAGGTTCAGGGAAACTTAACCACAAGCTGACAAAACAGCAAATGAAGCCAAATTCATTCATTCACTCAACCAATAATTGCAGGATGTCTAGTATGTGTGACATACTATGTGAGAGGTAGCTCCAGACCACGACCTTCCACTTACCACTATACACTAGCACCCAGAACAGAACCTGGGATGTAGATGGTGTTCCTATGTTTGTTGGATTAACACACATGAACAGGAATTTGACCATGAATGCTTTGAAAGCTTCATGAAATTCTTTGGAGACAAAGCAAAACATAATATATCCACTCATTCACCCAATCTGATGAGTGGGGATATGAAGAGAAATAAGATGTGCCTCAGCCTCTGGGAAGCTTACATTCTGGTTGAGAATCAGCAAAGGCCAAAGCATAGCAGTGCCGAAGGCCCGGCATATTTAAGAAACTACAAGTATTTTTCTGTGATGGGAGCAAGTGTCAGGATAACAGGAGATGAAGCTGAAGAGATAGGAAAGTTTGGGGTAGGATGTAAGGGTGTTTTTTATCCTGACAGGGACAGCGGGATGTGCAGGTGGCAAAGATGGAATCTAGGCAGAGGCGCAATAGGATTAAATTTGTGATTTGGGAAGCTCACTCTGGCTACAGAGTGGAGGAGAGACTGGAGGGAGTCAGGGTTGGTTGGGGAGCTAATGTGGGTGTCCAGGCCTTGATTTGGGCAATCATTGTGAGGAAGGACAGAAGGTGATAATTCCATGAGCCATGAAAGTGTTATCAGGAAGTGGAGTTCTTGGGGTGCTGAGAGAAAAGAATTTCCTGAGGGCCCCACGAGTGGATGAGGTTTCATGGAAAGCTTTATTGATGATATAAAATTCAGGAGGTTCCCCTCAAGGTCCCATCTCTGTCCATCTCGCCATGGCAGAAGTCCAATCTTGTCTTCAGCCGGGCTAGAATTATGGCCACTGCCCAGAGTTCCTGTTCCATATTAAAGTCCAGTCCCACCCTGACTGGTTTGGCTCAATGGATAGAGCGTCGGCCTGTGGACTGAAAGGTCCCAGGTTCGATTCTGGTCAAGGACATGTACCTTGGTTGCGGGCACATCCCCAGTAGGGAGTGTGCAGGAGACAGCTGATCGATGTTTCTCTCTCATCGATGTTTCTAATTCTCTGTCCCTCTCCCTTCCTCTCTGTAAAAAATCAATAAAATATATTTTTAAAAAAATAATAAAAAAATAAAGTCCAGTCCCGTTCAGCATCTGGCTAGCTTAGTTCATTGCATGTGGGGTCCACATGGCAATGGGCCATGCCGCTGCTTAAGGCCACGTGGCTGCGGAGAGAGAACAGACAAGCCCACCGGCAAGTGCAGGTCACAGAGACAGAGGGAGGGGACTCTGGGGATTTTAACCTGGAGCTTCTTCAAACTGGCCAATTAACAACCCAAGATTTCACACACTCCTCATGGGGTCCACCCTTTAGCCAATCCATTGTTCCCAAGCTAGACTGCCAGGCAAGCACCTCCCCTGTGCCACCCCGACTTCTCCTGCACATGTGCCTGCCTCCCCCTTTACCCCCCGACAATCCAGCACTGGAGGGCGGGAGGAGGGGTGTTACCCTCCTTAGAGGAACAGTGCTGCAGTTCCCTGGGCTGTGAAGCTGTAACTTGCTTGTGAAACAAACAGGCTGATGCTTCCTAGGTGAATATGCTCAACAGTGTCGGGCTCTCCCTTCGCTCTCTTCTTTATTAACGTTAACTAACCAACTATGACAATAACAGAAGTAGGATGGGCAGGACCTTGTGACGGCCTGGAGAGAGAGAGAAATGTCAGTTTCCCTCTAAGCTAAGAGACGCACTGCGGGGACTCTGGCCCACAGGAGGTACTTGTACTTGGTGGCTGGAGAGATAAAAAAGGAGGAGGCTCAGGTTTCTAGCTTGTGTATTTGCTATTATTCAAGGCAGAGAACCTTCACACAGATGCTCAGATTCTCTGTGGTCTGGTCCTGTCCTAGATCTTGCATTATACAGTGGGGCCTTGACTTACGAGTTTAATTCGTTCCGAGACCGAGCTCGTTAAGGAGCTCGTTAACTCAAATTACTCTGTTAACTCCATGCAAAAAATCGGCAGAGAGACAGCTGGTATCTCAAAAAACTCATTAGTCGGGACACTCGTAAGTCAAGGCCCCACTGTACTACCATCAGCCCCCTGTCATTTCTCAGTCCTGGGTCTTAACTCATACTGTTCCCTCTGCCCTATAATGCCCTCTCCTGTCTTCGTCTCTTTAAGTCAACTCCATTTCAAATGTCACTTCTTCAAAAAAGTATTAGATTCCTTCAACCGCAGATACTTTTAAAATCTAATTTCTTTGTATTTGCCTTAAGTCTATTGCTTCGGTTTGTGAGTGAGTGCCTTGAGAGGGACAACTTTCCCTCATTCATCTTCCTATCTCCTCCAGCCTGGAACTTCGCCTGTAGTAGGATTCAATACATCTTTGTTGGACTGAAACAAAGAGCCAAAAAGATGTCTATCTATGAAGCGGGGATATTATTGCCGCCTACTTCATGTGGGGGGGGGGGGGGGGGGGGGGGGGACTTGGCCTGGCTGTTCCAAAAGCAGTGAGCAGGCAATTGTGACAGTCCTTGAGCTTTATTTTTATTTTTTAAATCTACTTTGAAGAATGTTGTGAGTCCCAAAGGAGCCCTTTTATGTAATTTTTTTTTCTTTTTCTTTAGAAGTTCCTCTAAAACCCATTAGGGAGATTTAACATATTCCAGATTTAGCACTTTAATGGGCTTTTGTTCCTGCCATAATTTTTTTCCCATTTTTAACTTCTCCTCTGATTTTTAATTAGCTATTTCTGGGATTATGAAGTTTGCAAATTCAACAGCAAAATTTCTGGAAAGACTTTTAATTGATGTGTGAGTTTATTGTGATGATATTGTGGACCCTGCCTGAAACGGAAGGTATGGGAAGACCTGTCCCAGACACGGATTCTCGAGCCAGCAGATTGCATTCGCCATGATGAACATTTAGGGGCACTAGACATCTTTTATAAAATCACAAAGACCCGCCTGGCTGGCATGGCTCAGTGGTTGAGCATCAGAACCAGGAACCAAGAGGTGGTAGGTTCAATTCCCAGTCAGGCCACATGCCTGGGTTGCAGGCCCAATCCCCAGTGGGGGTGCATGCAGGAGGCAGCTGACTGATGATATGTCTCTCTCATTGATGTTTCTATCTCTCTAGCCCTCTCCCTTCCTCTCTCTCTAAAAATCAATAAAAACATATTTTTAAAAAATAAATAATAAAATCACAAAGACCCCGCGTTTGGGAGTCGCCGTTTAACCACCTTGGTGTTTTTGTTTTCCAGGAACCTCAGACAAGTCAAATCTGGAGCTAATCACTCTCACGTGCACCTGTGTGGCTGCGACGCTCTTCTGGCTACTGTTAACTCTCTTCATCCGAAAACTGAAGAGGGTAAGAACATTTCAGATAGGTCCTGTGCTCCTTTGCATAATATTCTAAAATGCTCGCCTGATATATGGGACAGGCACAAAACAGCATCAGACCCTATCCCTCCCCTTACCTCTGGCTCCTACCCCTATCCTGGTAAGCACTGGAAAATGAATCATTAAAACGTCTCTCAGCCATAAAGTGGGATATTCAAAAGAAAAACTAGAGCAATGGAAAGATGAATATTTCCCAGGGACAAAAAGGATATTTTTTATAAAAATATGTAATGAAGTCTTTAAATTTAATTTAGCATAAGACCTGTGAAGTCTTAGTCTTCTTAACCTTATTCTCTGCTAAGAAAGAAAAAAAGAGAAAGTCCCACCTGACTGCCTCTCACAATGCAGAAACACAAAGACGTGCACTGCTGTTCCAGACTCGCTGAGCCCAGGATCAAATTCAGTTCTTTAGAGCTCGGGGTTCAGGCTGGAATTCAGGACATCCGATTTCTATAATTCTGCCTACAGCACGACTTGCTTCTCTGAAGTCCCGTGGGGAAAGAGCCAACATTCATTCATCCACTTATGCCTCAAATATTTACTGTGTGCCTGCTCTCTGCAGAGTGCCAGGCCAGTGGTAAGCAAATGCTACCGTCTGGGGCTTTAATCAAGTACACAGACAATGCAAAGTGTAACAACAGTGAGCTGAGTAAAAGATGCGTAAGAGGGGTGGTCAGGCAAAGAAGCAGGGGCAAGTGCTGCAGGCAGAGAGGAGCGTGCAGAGGCTAGGGCAGGGCAGAGGGACACTATGAGAATGAGTGGCTGACAGAAGGCCAGAAGTTACAGTGGTGGAAACAAGGCATGAAATGCAGCAGGAGGAGAGGGGAGGGGGGGAGGGGAGGGGAAAGGAGGGGAGGGGAAAGGAGGGGAGGGGAGGGGCGGGGAGGGGAGGGGAGAGGCTGCAATGCCTGAGCAGGCAGGCTTGAGGCTATAGGAGGGAATTTAGTCCACATTCTAGAACGAATAGGAAGCTTTGGAGCAGGGAGGAGGGTTATAAAGCAAAGGTAGGCAATTATAAGTGAGAAATTTGTGTCTGCAAAGATTATTTTGGCTGCTGTGAGGAGAATGGACCAGGGGGTCACCTAGTAAAAGAGTTGACAGTAGTCCAAGGAAGAAATGGCGTTAGCTCAGTCTAAATCATTAGAGTCAAGAGATATTTAGGAGGCAAAATCAAGAAAACTTGAAATGTGTCAAACTGACCTACTCAATGTCTAGATATTTATTAGCCCTTATTAATAATGTACCAGGCTTGTGGGAAGCTCTTTATGCAGTATCTCAGTTAATCCTTCCAAAAATGCAGAGGTAAATACATAATTATTACCATTTTATAGAGAGGGAAACTGAGGTTCAGGAATTAAAATAACTTGTCCAAGGTCACAATGCTGATTAGAGTTGGAGCTGAGTTTTGAAGCCAGGTTGTTTGGCCTTAGGCTGGGTATTCAAAACCAGTAATGTGCACTTTATAGCGTTAGTATGAGAGGCAAGGCTAGCAGCATCCTCTACAATGAATGTGTAACATCAGGCTTTTGCTATATGGAGTGACTAGTTTTGAGACAGGACAATTCAGGCCACTGCTTGAGAAGGAACAGGTAGGTCAAATAATAGTATTTGAAGGGGGAGACACATCATATAGGGAAAGAGATCTAACAAAAGAAAAACTTGCCAAATCTGTGAGGGAGTACAAAGACTATAGGAGTTCAAAGGAGGAGAGTGGGAGAAAACACTTCAGAGAAAGAAAAGTTTAGAGACAGACTTTGAAGGTCATAGCTGGAAGGAAAGAAGCAGAAAAATACAGCTCCCCCACCCCCCACTCCGCAGATTAGGGAGGGAGTCCAGTTACTTTGCCTATAGTAGCAGAGTGGAAACAACACTGGAAAGGCAAATTGGGACTAAACTGAGTGGGTCTCTTGTATTTTTTTTTAAATCTATGAAATTTTGATATCAATAAGAAATGATGAGCCCTATCCGGTTTGGCTCAGTGGATAGAGAGTTGGCCTGTGGACTGAAGGGTCCTGGGTTCAATTCCGGTCAAGGGCACATACTTCGGTTGCAAGCTCCCGGCCTTGGGAGGCAACCAATCCATGTGTCTCTCTCTCACATTGGTGTTTCTCTCTCTCTCTCCCTCTCTCTTCCACTCTCTCTAAAAATCAATGGAAAAAAAATATCCTCGGGTGAGGATTTAAAAAAAAAAAAGAAGAGGAAAGGATGAGAACAAGTAATAGAATGCCTATAAAATGACAAGTGATTGGTTGTGGGAGGCGAAGAGGAAAAAAGGCATCAAGAACTATCTCCATGTGGTTTCTCTAATCACACTGTAAATTCCTCACTGATAAAGACTACTTTATCTCTATTCTGCATAACCAGTGTTATAATTACAGCCAACATTTATTGATGCTTACTGTATACCAGGCTCTGTTTTAACAGCTTTACATGGATTATATCACTTGATATTCACAATAGCCCTATGAGTTAAGTACCATCATTTGACAGATAAGGCAACTAGGCTTAAAAAAGTTAAGCAGCTTGCACATTGTTATGTGCTGGTCAGAAGTTGAGTTGTGATTCAAATCAAGCATGAGCCTCAATGTCTGGGCCCTGAAGCCCGTGGCTGTGCAATTTTCATGCCAAGCACCTAGTAGCTGCTCAGTGTTAATGTCAATTGAAAGAGCAAATATTTGTCAACTAAGATTCTGCTATCACACTCCCCTCAAAGCCCTTGCTTAAGGTTTTTGTTTTGAGCGTTTTGGTGTTTTCTCTCATCTGCCTTATTGAGATAAACCATAAAATTTCACAGGGGCCACGTGGGGAGATTGTCTTCCGTTGCCTGCTCCCTGGCCTCCATCACAGCACTGCCAGCCTCCCCTAGCATCCTGCCGAGCCCAAGCCGGCCCCTGCCAGGCTCAGCAATGCTATGCTCTCTGAAGACTGGGGATTGCTTCTCATCGCCTTGGCTGTGTTGGACATTGCAAAGTTTAGTCCTAAAACCAACTCCAGCTGCTTCCCTAATGAACACCCCACATTCCTGTCATAGGAATTTAGACTCCTCTACAGTCTTACAGACTCCCACCAGTGTCTGACAGGCTGGGCCCTCACAGTCTAACAGCAGTGGCAAGTGCAGTTCGTGACAAACGTGCTCCCTATCTTTCTCTGTTACCCATTCTTTATGGAGGCCAGGCAAATCTTTCTGCCTTGAGCTATTTGTCACACATTTTAGTGATAATTTTTTGTGAGAAAGAGACTGATTGCAAGTGATGGATGAGGTGAGCTGTGACAGCCCAGAACAGGGTGAGTAAGGGCTGAAGAATGTGGGTGGCTGTGACATGATGTGTATGGAGAGGTTGTCCTCTCTACTGAATTCTGATCTGGTTGAGGGAAAGCATTGAAGGGAAAGGCCCTAGAACTCATTTAAATGAAATTGACATAACTCTGGCAAGAGTTATCGAAACCCACCTTATGTTGGTAAGCATACTTCCTTTCTGTCCTGCCCACAGAAATACAATCAATTCTACAATTAACTAACAGAAAATATACCCATGCATATGAATTTAGACACTAAATGTAAATCCAGTTATTTATGATCTGAAAAAAAAAGTATTTTTTGGGCTTGATTTGCATTACCAAGATAAAAAATGCACCTGAAGGCAGATGTCCGCCTTACTTACTTGATGTCCACCTTACTTATTTGATGTCCTACCAATGGTCAAAGGAACTTGGAATGAATGTTGCTATGTGTAAGTCTTACTCTTTGGTATTTGAAATAATCAACTTCTGTTTCTTACTGAAGGTAAATCCTATTCTAATCTCACTAATGGACCCTGTGGTCATTTTCAGGCAGCTAAGTGGCCAGGCCTTCTGAGTATATTTAAGCTCTTCATATGAAATGTACCTCTAGGCTGTCCCAGAGAGGCAGACCCTGAGCTTACTTTACCATCTCTATCCTTTCTTGCAAATGTAGAAAGCCATAATCATGGGCCCTACTGTCAGCCTATTTGTAATGTATATTCCTGCTTACACAGAATGGCCATGGAAAGTTATTTTTAGTCTTTGTATGGAATGGTTTTATTAAAATGCTTTGCAGAACAAGCAAATAAGTTTGCTGGAGAATCTGAGGGCCTTTCATCTGTGACTAGAGGCCCGGTGCACAGATTCGTGCACTGGTGGAGGTCCGTCGGCCTGGCCTGTGGGGATCGGGCCAAAACCAGCTCTCTGACACACCCCAAGGGGTCCCAGATTGCAAGAGGGTGCAGGCCAGGCCAAGGGACCCCACTGGTGCACAATAGGGGCCGGGAGGAACCATGGGAAGATTCCAGGGCATGTCCGGCCCATCTCACCCAGTCCTGATCGGCTGGACCCCAGCAGCAAGCTAACCTACTGGTCGGAGCATCTGCCCTCTGGTGGTCAGTGTGCATCATAGCGACTGGTCGAACAGTAATACGGTTGCACACTTAGCATACGAGGCTTTTATTATATAGGATAATACTACAGAAATGCAGGGCGGGAACAGCAAGGGTTGTTTGATAGACATCACATGCTCAGGTGTGATGTGCATATGTGTGTGCTACTTTCTGTACCTCACCATATGTTTTAACCAAAATAGCAGGAGATATTGTCTAATATTGTTTTAAATTGGCTATCAGGGGGTTTTTAAGTCATTGATGACTTTGGGATCTCTTTATTTCTCAGTCTTCTTCTGAAATAAAAACTGACTACCTATCAATTATAATGGACCCAGATGAAGTTCCCCTGGATGAGCAGTGTGAGCGGCTCCCGTATGATGCCAGCAAGTGGGAGTTTGCCCGGGAGAGACTTAAACTAGGTAATGTATTTGTTCAACAGATTCCTAACCCCATACTAAGCACCTACTGCATGCAAAAGACTGCATTGAGGAATGCAAAAATAGGTTAGACTCAGGATTCTACCCTCAGCAGTTCACAACCTAGCAAGGGAGAGGGACACAGAGGTATATGAGTCTATGAGAATGCGGAGAGGATGGTTTAAGGGACAAGGAGACAAGGAGCACCTATTCATTCTTTCAACATTTACCAAGCACCTTCTCTGAGCAGCAGACACAAAAGTATTTGAGTCTCTTCCCTCTAAGGCAGTGGTTCTCAACCTTGGCTGCACATTAGAATCACCTGGGAATCTTTTTAAAATCCTTATTTCTGGGCCTCATCTGAATGGGGTTGAGAACCACTGCAGGAGGTCACCATAAAAGTAGATAAGTGAAGGGAAAGGAGGAGAGTTTAGTTCCATCAGGAGCCTTACAAGCCCAGGTGCTCTTAATTAATGACATTTTTGAGGAGTCAGAACCTTATGACCTGGAAAGTAATTCAAGATGACAAGGCACAGTAAAATCAAACATTTGGTGAAAGAGTTGGTACTCTTCAAGGCTGTGGATCAAAAACCAGTCTGCACAAATCCACCACATACTTTGAATTTTCCTGGGTGTTCAAAAGGTCCAAACGAGAAGAAAGTCTTAGGGGGTCACTTAAGTTTCACTTCTGAAAAGTGAGGACTGTTGTTTTCCAGGTAACACAGATGCTGTAAACAGGCAAATGTGTTTTCCTTCAGCTTCCCCCCAAGTCCCTCCAGCTTAGACACCACAGTGCAAATTACTCTTCAGCCCAGTTATTACAAAACAGTGGGAACCTCAATTACTCCCACCCAAAATATTTGGCTTGTGGGTTCTGAAAGTTTTCCACTCACTCTGACGTATGCCAGAATAGCTGGAACTAGGAAAAGAGGCCATGCATCCAGTGTGCCCAGAGCTTCTCACTCGGTATAAAGAGCCTGTTGTTCCAAATTCAATGGCACTGCCTGCTTTTCCCACTACATGCAGGTCATTGTCATACAATGGAAAGATATTGGGCGCTAGCTGGTTTGGCTCAGTGGATAGAGCATGGGCCTGCGGAGTAAAGGTCCCGGGATCAATTCTGGTCAAGGGTACATGCCGGGGTTGCAGGAGGCAGCCAATCAATGATTCTCTCTCATCATTGATGTTTCTATCTCTCTCCCCCCTCTCCCTTCATCTCTGAAATCAATAAAATATATTTTTAAAAAATATTGGCATTTCTTTGGAGGTGGAGGTGTGAGGTGACAGAGAGGGAGAAATGGCTTTTCTCATTCTCTTAGGCCTTGAAATGATCCCACTTACATTTCTTCCTACATGAGAAAAAGTAGTTGGCCCCAAGAGTATGTTCTGTTTGGCTTGGGGAAGAAAATTAGGAATCAGACAAAAGCCAGTAATGGCTGCTGACAAGAAAAAAAAAATCAACCAAATTTAGAGTAGGTAAGGGCAGGTGGCACACTAGATGAGTTCCGTCTGCAAGTCTAAATTATATGGCAGCCTGCCCAGCCCCTTCAGTGACCTTAGCATGGAATATGGGATAATTTTCCCACAACCATAGGCCATTCTCAGGCCACGTTGCTTTCCAGGGGTATTAGTCACAATCAAATATGCTCCTTCCAATGCAGGACACATGAGCTTTCCATCCCTTTTTTTCATTCCTCGGCCTAGTGTCACTGTGACCATAACACGTCCAGGCGGGGAAGGGGTGCCAGTCCTTCTACCAGAATTCCCCTAGGGCTCAATGAGTGTAGATAATCCCATTTCAGGAGATTCTTCTTGTTGAAGATCTTTTTCATGGTTCTTTTCCTTCCCAGATGCTACGATTTGGCTAATATACATGTGAGTATCTTTGATGGGTGAGAGGAAGTGTAGCAAAGTCTCAATGCAGAGTGTGGCTGCAAGGGCCAGAGTAATGCTCGTCCTACTAACTTGGGAGCAAAGAGGCCCAAGATTTGTTTGTTTGTTTGTTTGTTTGTTTGTTTGTTTGTTTTAAGCCAAATAAATGAGAGAAAGAAATCCGAAGCAGTGTCTGTTAAGTGAAAGTATATCTGAATAGATGGGAAGAAAAGGCAGGTTTGATGGGCAGAATTACAACAGAGTTCTGAATGTAGAGAAAAGCATAGATCAAGCTGCTTCTGATCTCAGCTGTCTGCACTCTGTGGGTTACTTTCAGTCCTGGAGAGAGAAGTCAGAATTTACAGTACCTGATAGATAGATACAGTTAGAAACAGTCAAAGGTGTTGCTACCATTGAAATTCCTGAAATCCGGTAACTAAAGAAACCTATATTGTTGGTGATTCTACATTAAACCTCAGAGAGAATTCGCCTCCTATACATTTATAAATGTTTGACATTGCACCTTTCTATTGGGAAAATTGTCAGAATTAGCGAATATGGGAAACAACACAGGGAGTCTGGAAAATGGCAGGTGAATGGGACCTGGGCTGGTGCTGCCTCTTATAAGACCGGCCCTGGATGCCAGAGAGGAGCTCAGCCCCATGCTGCCATGCACTATCCCCAGTGTCCCAGGGACCCTGGCCAGTCATTCTTAAAAGAAATTCCAATATCCTTTCATTGTATGACTATGACCTAGCAGTTTACAAGCTAGTGAGTGGCATTTGGGTAACACCAAAGGAAGACTTTAAGAGAAAAGGAGGATCAGGCCAGGTCAAGTCCAGTGTGACTGGGCTCCTCTGATACTGAACTGTGAGTCTGCAGAAAGATTCCAGTGCACCAGATGATTAAAGAGCCCATAGCAGCCCAGCCGGAGTGGCTCAGTGGTTGAGCATCGACCTATGAACCAGGAAGTCATGGTTCGATTCCCTGTCAGGGCATATGCCCGAGTTGGGGGCTCGGTCTCCAGTACGGGGTATGCAGGAGCCAGCCAATCAATGATTCTCTCTCATCATTGATGTTTCTCTCTCTCTCCCTCCCCCCTTCCTCTGTGAAATCAATAAAAATTATATATATACAGCTTCATGCTGCTTTGTGAGGCAGCAATCAGCTTCCAAGAGAACAAAGGAAAAGACTGAGGAAAGCCAAGTGAGAACAAGTTGATTCTCAGTAATAAAAGCAAAGTCCCCAAACACTGGTTAAAACAAAGAGTGTTGTGATGGCGAAGAAGGGCATGCCCGGGGACTGAAGTGTGGTGCCCCAAACAAGCAAGAGTCTTTGCAGCCTGTGGAGAGGTGTCCCAAGACAGAGATTATCTTATCACTGCTCAGGCTCAGGACACTTTTCATATTAGATGGTAGAAGGCACTTCAAAAGGAAAGCATTGTTCTTTTACCTGAGAAAAGCAAGGAATAAGCCTGTAACCAAATGCAGCCATTTTCACGAGTCTGGAGAAGGTATCTGCCACTGCCCTTTCAATTTGTGATCTCCACGTCCTGCACCTTCAGGGGCCACTCAAGGCTCTTGTATTTAAGATAACAGTCCCCTTGCTGGTCTATATCTTGGACAATTTTATCTGAAGAAGGAAGCACTGACTGCGTCCCAGCCCATGGCATGTGCTCTGGGAGGAACGAACGATCTTTATCAGTCACTACAGGTACATGTGTGACCACAGGAAAGGCTTGTGACGTCACCAGTGTTCCCTTTCTAATGCAGAGTGTGTCCCTCTGAGATAGATGCAGAGACTGCTACAGAAAAGCTCATATAATTATGTTGGTAACTGAACACTTCCCATGTCCTAACTGGATGCCCAAAGGTGATTGGTAATGGAAGATACTAAGCAGAGGCAGAGTGAAGACATCTTTGTTACTGAGTAGTTGTGCATAAAAAGTATAAAGGTCCTAATATGGTGAAGGAGGAAAGTTTCGTTACAAACTTTACAAGAATTAAAAAACTAAAAAAACCAAAAAACTATATTCTTTGGGGGAAAAGATTGGACTATGAGGAAGGGAGGGAGGGAGGAAGGCTAACTAACTGAGAGCTTGTTATCAGAACAGTCTCAGAATGCGGACTTGGTTTCGAGAGATGTGTTAAATCAACACTAACTACCGGGACTTAACTTTTGACCAGAGGCATTTTGTTGACTTTTTTTCACTCAGAATAACTAAAAAAGAGTGACTTCTTTGGCTCACTCCTTTTGCCTTGTCATACTTGAGGTGTACTGTTTCTCTAGGTTCTACTTAGCTACCTATTTCCTGGTGATACAAAAGGAAGTCCCCTGATATAACAGTAGCTGAGGTTATCCAGGGGATGCCTCTCAAGGTCTTCATCTCAGGGGTCCCTCTAGTTACCTAGGAGTGTATGAGACTTGCTTTGAATATCTCACAAGTTCCCAAATGCTACTGTTGATTCTGCACTAATATCCAGCAAACCTTCTATGCAGCAGGTACTGGGCTAGGCTCTGGGAAGACTCAGACATGGTCATTGTCCCTCTCAGTCAAGTTGTCTCATGCAAGGCTGAGAAAAGAAACATGTGAATAGTTGTTATAGTGTAACCTAACAGATGCCATGAAAGAACCCTTGCTTTGTTATTGCATTTGGCAACCACCTCTCTATGGTTGAAACAAATTACTAAGAGTGGTTGATAGTCTCATGCGCTGAATATGATTTATAATCATCGTATGAAGAAATGTTAGAAATACTGGGTCTATTTTGCCTGGCAAGGAAGTCAGAGAAATGAGTTAGTTGGGGGGGGGGGGAGGGCTTATTTGTTTTGTTTTTTAATCTATGAAGCATTATTATAACCAATAGCAATAACTATCATTCTCAATTTCTCGCTTTCTGCTAAAAATAGATCAGAAGAAATGTCCTTAAGTGGCAAGAAAAGGGGCCTAGGTTAGACACAGGGAAATATTCTTGTTAATAATGTTATTAAACAATGGAAGAGACTACCCAGGATTTGGTGGCCTCTCCCTTCCAGGAGGATTTTGTGAAGAGGAAACTGGCCATCCACCTGCACAAAAGGCCTTCTAGGTGCCCAGCATAGCTGTGAAGAATGAGGGTACCTCAGAAGCACAGTAAAGAGTTGGAAAAAATTTACTCAAGAAATGACACTTTTAGGGTCAGTTCCTTGGAGATCCCTTTCAAAGTTACACGTGCCTCACAGCTACAAATAGGAAAAATGGCACTTCCTTCCTGAAAAAGACTTAAACTCACCCCACTGGCTTGGTAAACAAATCAATGTATTCTTTTCATTGTAGGCAAATCACTTGGAAGAGGGGCTTTTGGAAAAGTGGTACAAGCATCTGCATTTGGCATTAAGAAATCACCCACCTGCCGGACTGTGGCTGTAAAAATGCTAAAAGGTATGGACACTGCGGTTTGGCTTTCAACTGACCCATTGCATTTCCTGAATGTTGGTATGAGTTGGATGTGGCCTAGGAACAGGCACAAGCTATTTCTGCGCTGGTCACATAACTTTCTCCTACTGCTGCAAGCCCCTTGACTTTACGATTTTTAGGTGAGGCCAGAGAGTCCAGGATAAGCCTTGTCAATGAAACAATCAGCATCATCCACGGGAAAATGACTCCTGTGACCTCAAAAATATTTCTCTTACCACATCTCAGACTTGACACTATCAGAGAATTAAGCCCATGGTAACCAATTTTTTGAAATGATCCACTTGACATTATAATGGAAACTTAGCTGTACATCACAAATCCCAAAGGCTTAACTGGGGCTTGACCTAACTATAAGGTAAGATTGTGAAACTAAAACAAGTGAGATGATCAAAACCGTAAACTTTTAATACTGTCAAGTCCCAACCATAAAACTTTTTCTCTTTAGAAATGAAAAACAAATTATCTTTCAAGTGCGAACTGCTAGGAGGTAGAGTCAAATCACATAGAGATGTATGACCACTGCCATAGATAGACGGAAAGTGAAGACTATGTAAACCAAACAAATCAAAATGCATAGATCCTTTAGAGTTTAGAAAATAATTCATTTCCTCCGTTATGATGAAATTTTCATGTTCTTTCGATGCATCTTAAAGTTCCCAAACCAAAAGAAACAGGAATGAAAACCCATAGGGCAGCTTTCAGCTTTCCAAGATCTCCAAGATAATGCCAGGGGGTTTTGAGGCACAGAAAGCTATGCGCCCAACTAAGCAGGTACCTAGCAAAGGCTTCAGGAGAAAAAGGGCCATTTGCTTAGGGAGACTTCCTCTTCTTCCAGCCCTGACACCATCATTGCCCAAGTATCATGTCATGATATTTTCCACCTCAAAAGGCTGTCCTTTTTAAAGGAAAACTTTGATAAAACTCTACAAAGAACCTGACAGTTCTACTCTGAAAGTAGCCAGGAAAAGGAGTTTTGCATCCACAAGTCAGGACTTTTGTTCGAGTTGAGCTACCCAGATGATGGACAGCATTTCTGTGAGAATTCCTCCATTCCAGCACCCCACCCTGTACACCCCACCCCAGATTCTAAAGAGAAGACGCAGCACCATGTCTTCTATGTGACAAAGCATCAGACTAGGTACTTTAATATGTTAGGTTGAACCACTTGAAATCGTCATTTTTCTCTCTATGCCTTGTTTTTCTGGGTTGTTGTGTTTTCGGTTTTTTGTGGGTTTTAAATTGATTGCAGTGACATTGGTCAACATGAACATATAGGTTTCATGTGTGGGTTTCTATGTAACAAGATCTGTATATTGTATCTGTATATTGTACCCAAAATCAAATCTTCTCCTCTCACTTTATATTAGGACTTTTTTCTCCCTCCATTCCCCTTATCTCTGGCAACCACCATTCTGCTGTTTGTGTTCATAAGTTCAGGTTTATATCCCACATAGGAGTGAAATCATATGGTTCTTGGCTTTTTCTGTCTGACTTATTTCACTTAGCATAATGTTTCAAGTTCCATCCATGTTGTTGCAAATGGCACTATTTCATCCTTTCTTATGGCTGAGTAGTATTCCATTGTGTATATGTATCATATCTTCTTTATCCAGTCCTCTATCATGGGACACTTTGGTTGTTTCCATGTCTTGGCCACCATGAATGATGCTGTAATGAACATAGGGGTGCATATATCTTTGCAAATACATGATTTTGAGTTTTATGGATATACTAGAGGCCCGGTGCATGGGTGGGGTCATATGGTAGCTCTAGTCTTAATTTTTTGAGGAATCACCAGACTGCTTTCCATAGTGGTTGTACCAGTTGACATTCCCACCAGCAGTGAATGAGAGTTCCCTTTTCTCCACAACCTCTCCAACACTTGTTATTGTTTGTCTTATTGATAATGGTCACTCTAACACGTGTAGGGTGTTATCTCATTGTACTTTTAATTTGCATTTCTCTAATTTTCAGTGATGTTGAACATCTTTTCATATATCTATTGGATATTTATATGTCTTCTCGGGAGAGGCGTATTTTCAGGTCCTCTGCCCACTTTTTGTTTGGATTACTTGATAATATCCTTCTATGTGCAAAAAAATTTAATTTTCATGAAGTCAAATTACCTTTTTTGTTTTGTTTTGTTGCTGATACTTTTGGTGTCATATCTAAAACTACATTGCCAAATTCAAGGTCATGAAGATTTACTCCTATGTTTTTGTATAAGAGTTTTATGGTTTTAGATTTTATATTTAGGTAATTGATCCAATTTGAATTAGTTTTTTGTAAATCACATGAGGTAGTGGTC